GATGTTCCCGTTTCCGCTGTTCCTGTGGCCCATCTTCCCTCTGCTGTTGTAACAACCCCCATTGTCACTCCAGTATTTACATCCGCTGCTGTTGTTGCTGCCGTACCACCCTCAGAGATTTCATTCCATGGCACACCTTTGCTAAAGAGTTTGGCTGCTGCTTCCACAACTTTGCATGCCTATGTGGAGGCACCAATTGCTGTGGTCCATTAATGTTTATGCTAATTGGAAAAGAGGAAATAAATATGTTAATTTGAAAAACTGACTTGACGATAAAACTAAACAGCATTTTTTCTGGATTTATAAAGGGCTCACATTTGTATACCCTTCACCACACTGTGGTACAGGGTATTATGTCTTTGTGCACATGTTTGTAACAGGCAAAAACAATCGAGATAGACCCATGGTTCCTTTTGAGAATATGCATAGAATCACTTTCTGAGTCGATTTATACATGTCCGTCCGTTCGTCTGTTGGTGTTAAATTGCAAACAAAGTACAGGTCGCATTTACAATCCGATTTGGATGAAATTTGGTACAGCTCATTTGTTGGACCCAAGGACGAACCCTATTGAAATTGGGAAAAATCGGTTTAGATTTAGATAAAGATCCCATATATATGTTCTTCCGATTTAAGGTAAATGGTGCACCAAAGTCCCTATATATCTTTCGATTTTCACGAAATTTGGCATACCGTACTAAATTAAGTCTAGAAATATGTGTGTTAAATTTCATGAATATCGGTTGAGATTTAGATATAGCTCCTATATATATTTTTATCTGATTTAAGCTAATTGCTGCACCAAAGAACCTATATATCTCTCGATTTGCACGAAATTTGGCACAGCGTATGGAATTAAGTCTAGACTGTTGTGTATAGCTCCCATATATACTTTCGTCCGATTTTATGTAAATTGTGGACCAAAGTCTATATATATATCTTTCGATTTGCACAAAATTTGGCATAGAGTACTGAATTGGCTGTAGAATAATGAGTGGTGAATTTCAGGAAAATCGGTTCAGATTTAGATATAGCTCCCATATATATTGTCGTCCGATTTAATGTAAATGGTGCACCAAAGTCCCTATATAACTCTCGATTTGCACGAAATTTAGTATAGGGTACTGAATTGAGTGTAGAATTATGTGTGCTAAGTTTCGTGAAAATCGGTTCAGATTTAGATGTATGTGATGGTGTGTACATGGGTTTTTAATTGGTTCAAATATCTATGTTGATCACCCATTTAGTTTCACCTCATTCCATTTCATTTCAGGATATTGTATATATTAGCATCTCTTGTATGTATCCAAAGTGGTGAAGGGTATCATAAAGTCGGCTCCGTCCGACTTTTGAGCTTTCCTTACTGGGTTAAAGTATATTTTATCTGGGACTATTTCAGGTTGGATTTTTTAAATAATATTTTCTTAAGGGCCATCGATAGGTGTTGATTTTATAAGGGCGTGAATTTTTAAAAAAAAAAATCATTGACAAACACAAGCGTGGATTTTTTAAAGAAAAAATTTTCAGAGGCCAATACAGGCGTGGATTTCTTCTGGAATATTTTTTCAAAAGCCAATACAGGCGTGGATTTTTCCAGGAATATTTTTTCAAAGTCCAAAACCGGCGTGGATTTTTAAAAGAATATTTTTTCAGAGACCAAAACCCTCGTGGACTTTTAAAAGAATAGTTTTTCAAAGACCAAGTTTCGAGTTCTAAAAAGTAATTCCATCCTAAGCCGAAATTTTAGATTTAAAAAAAATATATTTTTTTTATTATTTTCTGAAGATTGGACCAATGGCGTAGATTATTTATAAAATATTGTTTTGTAAATGAAATGACTTTTTCAAAATCCCATGTCAAGCCAAAAAAAATCCGGTTTCAGAATTATTGTCAAATATTTCTTAATCCTATCACTCGTTTAGACAACCAAAGTTCCGGTAAAGTGATAATTGATTTTGTATTGATTATAAATTTTGAAAATACTTTAAAATAATTGTTCCATTCATACGTCATATTTCAGTGAATCAGAAACATCTGCGTTGTTATTGTTTGATAACAGCCCATAGGTCAGTAACACATGAGAATTATATTTTGTTTTTGGTGTTTTTTCTTTTCTTCAACACACAATAAAAGAACTTTGTGGTTAAACCAAATTGTGTAATCAATTTAAGTAAAAAATAAAATACGTACATGAAATTGGTACTTAGTGTTATAAACGAAAAATAAATTAAAGAATAGAGGAACCGGTTAAATGCCCTTCAAGAAAAATATCACAACGCACTTGGTAGCAGCGGCCAAAAAAAACTACACAGTCATAGCTTAAGTGTGCTGAACTAATTTTTGGGTATAAAACCAAATTGTTTTTCTCCGCATAACATCAGTTTCATTACACACTCATTGTGAAATCAAGCAATCCCTCCCAAAAAAACACAATCAAAATGTTCAAATTCGCCGCATTCTTCGCTTTGTTGGCTGTTGCCGCTGCTGCTCCTGGTTTGATTACCGAGACCCATCATGTTGTCCAACCTGTCGTTACCAAAACTGCCTACGTTGACAACAGTGCCTCATCGGCCATCACTCATCAAAGCTTCACCAATTTGGAAAGAAAAGTCCCAGTAGTCCATACCGTTGCTGCTGCCCCAGTTGTCAAGACTGTTGCCACTCCAGTTGTCCACACCTACGCTGCTGCTGCTGCTCCTTTGGTTAAGACTGTTGCCGCTCCTGTGGTCCACACTTATGCCGCCGCTCCCGTTCTTAAAACTGTAGCTACTCCTGTTGTCCACACCTATGCTGCTGCCCCGGTTGTACACACTGCTCCTTTGGTGAAGACTGTTGTTTCTGCCCCTGTTACCTACACCGCTTTCCATTAAGACTTTGTATGGCGATTTTTTACCAATGTTATTAATTGTTTAAATAAATCGGAAAAAAAGAAAATATTTAATAGAACTTGGTTGTACTGTATTTGTATCCAATTATTATAAGAAAGGTAAGGGGGTCTGAATATTTTTGTCAAGGATTATCACAATTCGAAGCATGGAATATCAAAGATATTGTGCCAACACCGGCTGCATTTTAGCGCATATTTTTATACCCTACACAACTATGTTGTCAGCGTATTATAGCTTTGTGCAGCCTCACGAGTTTGTAACGCCGCGAAATATTGATCCTAGACAAACCTTTAATATGCTGATCATCATATATCGACTAGCTGAGCCGATCTAAAAAACACGATAGTTGTAAACACGATATAGGCCAAAGTTATTGACCAATCTTCACGACATTTTGCATGTAGGGTGGGTATAGATTAACCCCTGTAGGACATAGACCCCAGAAGTTCATAGTATATCGAAGAAGAGTGGTTGACCTTTAAATTGATACCAATTGTATTGTCGTATGTACTCGGATGTGGGAGTTACACGTAAATATTTACAGTCTGATCGCTTTGAATATTTTGCCAAGGACTATATAAAGGGGTGTTTTTTTATATCAGGCGTAGAATTCTTGTCCTTTTTTTTTAATCACGACTTCGACAGTTCGCAATGTATCGGTACACATTTTATTATATTCCCATAGAGCGGAACCATCCCATTTTTTATACCCTCCACCATAGTATGGAGGGTATATTAGTTTTGTTTTTTCGTTTATAACGCATCGAAATAATAACTTCCGACCCTATAAAGTATATATATTCTTGATCAGCGTAAAATTCTAAGACGATTTAAACATGTCCGTCTGTCTGTTGTAATCACTCTAGCGTCTAAACGAATTGAGATGGAGCCCCAAAATTTTGCATAGAGTCGACTTTTGTCTGCAAGTTCGAAGATGGGTTATATCGGTATCGGTAGCAAATCTCCCCACTAAAAATTATAAATATAGATCCATTTTTTGGTATAGCACCCCTATAAGGGTACCCCCAATTTTCGGTATTTTGGGTGTTTTGGTCGCATTTTGCGACCGAATTGGCTGTAATTTGGTACTTTGAGTTCTTATTGGGTACCAAATCTCCCTACTAAAAATTATAAATATAGGTAATTTTTTTCTGGTACCCCCCATATAACGGTACCCCTCAATTTTCGGTATTTTGGGCTTCTTGAGCGCGTTTTTCAACCGAATTCGTTGAAATTTTGCTACATTGGGTTCCTATTGGGTACTAAATGTCTCTACAAAAAATTATTAATATAGGTCCACTTTTTCTGGCAGTCCCCATATAACGGTACCTCCTAATTTTCAGTATTTTGGGGGGTTTTGACCGTATTTTTCCACCGAATTAGCTGTAATTTAGTATTTTGAGTTCTTAATAGGTACTAATTCTTCCCCCAAAAAAATTATGAATATAGGTCCATTTTCTCGGATAGCCCCCATATAAGGGCACGCCCAATTTTCGGTATTTTGGGGTTCTTGAGCGCCTTTTTTAACCGAACTTGCTGCAATTTGGTATTTTGTAGTCGTATATGGTAACAAATCTCCCTGCCAAAAATTATTAATATTCTCCCTCTTTTTGGGGTAGTCCCCATATAACCCCCTTTTTATATTAAAATAGATGTCTGATTTGTTCCGTGTTTTGAGTTGGGTTTTAAGACTTTGTTGTAATCATTTCTCCTGCGGAGGATAGCGAGATAAAAACGTAACGTAAGGTTCGATAATGAACTATAGCCGCATGTAGACCTAGCCCCTGTGTGGAGGTTCCAGAAGGAGTGGACAGATATTCCCCATCTTTGAATTTGAGCTAAGTTTGGAAGAAATAATAAGATGGGCATAGTTTGGATGAAATCTAAAATTTTCTTCAAACCTTTCTTATAAGGTCATGTTGTCTAAGTTCATGACATAGACAACAAATTAGCACCTGATAAATATTTGATATCCCGAACAAGCAAGATATTATAATTCCATCATTTTCTTACAGAGGTCTTTGCGAAATGTAATAAAACTATTTTAAAATGATTTTGTTTTTCGAATTTATTTAAATAATTAATAACATCTGAGAAATCAAAACAATCCTTTTAATGGAAGGCAGTATAGGCAACAGGAGCGGCGACAACAGTCTTCACCAAGGGAGCGGTGTGAACAACGGGAGCAGCAGCATAGGTGTGGACAACAGGGGTAGCAACAGTCTTAAGAACAGGAGCGGCGGCATAAGTGTGAACAACGGGAGCGGCAACAGTCTTAACCAAAGGAGCAGCAGCGGCATAGGTGTGAACTACAGGAGCAGAGACTGTCTTAACCAAAGGAGCTGCGTAGGTGTGAACAACTGGAGTCGACACAGTCTTGACAACTGGGGCAGCAGCAACGGTGTGGACTACTGGGACTTTTCTTTCCAAATTGGTGAAGCTTTGATGGGTGATGGCCGACGAGGCACTGTTATCAACATAGGCTGTTTTGGTCACGACAGGTTGGACAACATGATGGGTCTCGGTAATCAAACCAGGAGCAGCAGCGGCAACAGCCAACAAAGCGAAGAAGGCGACGAATTTGAACATTTTGATTGAGGGTTTTTGGGAGGGATTGCTTGATTTCACAATGAGAATGAAATTAAACTGATGCTAACTAAAGGAAACATTTTGATTTTATATCAAAAATATAAAATTAGTTCAGCACATAAAACTATGACTGGTGCTGCCAAATGTGCTGGAATTTAATTGAAGGGCATTTAACCGGTTTCCCTTTTGTGTATTTTAATTTACGCTTATAACACTAAGTACACACGCATGTACAGAATTTATTTTTCCTGAATTGATTACTGATTACTGCGTGTTGTGGCTATAGAGATTTTTTATTGTGGGTAGAAACACAAGAAAAATTATACAAAAAGAAAATAAGCATGGTGGTGTGTTACTGACCTGTGAGGTGTTACCAAGCACTTAACATCATATATTTTTTGAAATTCACTACTAATGTAGATCTTGAAAATTATTTTATAAAAATATTCTTTAAAATGTGGTCTTGGAAAAATAATTTTGAAAAAATCTATGGCTATTTCATTGTATACAACCATCATAGGAATTGTTTATCAAGAAATAGCCAGAGATTTCTTCAAAATTATTTTTTTTAAATCGGGATGAAAAATATTTGTTTATAAGTTCCGCTTTTCGTGGCCCTTAACAATTTTATTCAAAAACTCCACGTGAAGGAAATAATATAATATAATACCCACCCGGATGCATTTTTGAATTTCCTTTTTATACAATTGTTGTGATTTTGTTTTAATTTTCAAATGTTGTTCTTAATTCCACTTGTTCTGTGGCCAAAAAAATGTTCCGGTAATGTATCATTGACAGAGCCAAATAACTATATCATTGATTGATTTAGGCAGCACATGACAAATAGTTTTTTTTCTAATTTTATACCAGTTTATTTGTGAGCAAAACAAACTCACAAAAATTAAGTCATGAAGACAATTGTAAGAAACTTTAATTGAATTACGTACGAAGTACTTAATGTCATGAAAATAAAAGAAACATAAAAACCGGTCAAAACGCCCTTCCATAAAACTCCAAATAATAGCAGCCACAACTGCGTCACAATTGTGCGAAACAAACTAAAATATTTGGTATAAAACCAACATGATTTCCTTAGCATAGCATCAGTTTCATTTCATTTCATTGTGAAATCTAGCAATCCCTCCCAAAAACCCTCAATCAAAATGTTCAAATTCGTCGCCTTCTTCGCTTTGTTGGCTGTTGCCGCTGCTGCTCCTGGTCTGATTACTGAGACCCATCATGTTGTCCAACCTGTCGTGACCAAAACAGCATATGTTGATAACAGTGCCTCATCGGCCATTACCCATCAAAGCTTCACCAATTTGGAAAGGAAAGTCCCAGTAGTCCACACAGTTGCTGCTGCCCCAGTTGTCAAGACTGTGTCGACTCCAGTTGTTCACACCTACGCTGCTGCTGCTCCTTTGGTTAAGACTGTTGCCGCTCCCGTTGTTCACACTTATGCTGCCGCTCCTGTTCTTAAGACTGTAGCTACTCCTGTTGTCCACACCTATGCTGCTGCTCCAGTTGTACACACCGCTCCCTTGGTGAAGACTGTTGTCGCCGCTCCTGTTGCCTATACCGCTTTCCATTAAGAGGATTGTTTTGATTTCTGAGATGTTATTAATCGTTGAAATAAATTCGAATGAACAAATTAAATAAAAAAGTTTTATCATCTTTCGTTTAGAACCCTAAAATGCTTTTAATGAATATTTGGCCCCTTCCGATACCTATTTAAAATTTTTGAGTTAATATATTATTTCTTTATTAATAAGATATTCCTAGTGTACATTTTTAAACATCAATTTATATTATGAGTACAATTAAACATTTGTGAAATATTGCATTTAGTTAACCGGTAGGACGTGTGTTTTAGACGTCCGATCGATCCGGCGAGCGAATATCGATTCGGACCATTACCTTGTGGCAGCCAAGGTTCGCACCCGTCTTAATGTAGCAGCAAAGGTGCGATCTAACACAACACGGAAACTCGACGTCGAAAAGCTGCAAACACAACAGGTAGCCGAGGCCTACTCCGCTCAACTTACCCAACTGCTTGACGAAAGCACCCCTGGTCCTGATAATAATATAGAAGCACAATGGCAGAGAATTTCCCACTCCCTACAAACTGCAGCAAAAGCAACACTTAGGTACCAAGCAAGAAATCCGTGGTACGATCAGGAGTGTCGTAATGCTACCGATATGAAAAACGTAGCGTATAGGGCAACCCTACGGGCAGTTGCAACACGTAATGCGATGGAGAACTATCGGGAGAAAATGAGAGAGGGAAAATGTATTTTCAGAAAAAGAAGAAAGAGCAAGAAAAACGTGAGCGTGAGCAAATCGAGATGTGCAGGAGTCGGAATGAAGTCCGAAAATTCTAACAACGGGTAAAACGGGCTTTGGTGCAGGCACATCCTCCTGTAGAGATAAAGAAGGAAACCTGGTGACAGATACAGACAGCGTGCTGAGGATCTTGATGGAGCATTTTGAAAAACTTCTGGTACCAAATAGTAGCAGTGAAGTGGAATAATAGATGACGGTATAGAGTACCACCTAGCCTAGATGAAGTCAAAATAGCAATCAATCGGCTGAAGAATAACGAACTATTCAAGACTGGTGGTCAGATGCTGGTAAGGAGCATGCACCAGCTGATTAGTACAATTTGGCTAGAAGAATGCATGCCCAATGACTGGAACCACAGCATCCTGTGTCCTGTGCACAAAAAAGGTGAAAAGACGATATGTGCCAACTATAGAGGAATAAGTCTCCCACCCAACGCATATAAAGTGCTATCCGGCGTACCGTGCTGTTATATGGATATGAAGCATGGGTACTTACGCAAGCAGATGAGGCAGCTCTTGGAGAGTTTGAGAGAAAAATTCTAGATCTATGGCCGATCTGCGTTGACGGTGAATATCGCCGTCGAATGAACCATGAGTTGTACCAGCTATTCACGGACATCGACATTGTTGACATGTTGTGAGAATGGATGAAGATGCCCCAGCCCAGAAGGTATATAAAAGCGAACCAGGCGATGGTTCACGCAGAAGGGGAATGCCAAAAATACTATGGAAAAAAAAAATAAATTTCGAGGAAAGAGGAACCGGTTTTCTAAATTTTTGAACCGGATATTCAGATAGAAAACCCCGTCTAATTAACTTATATGCATAATTTTAGAAAAATATTTTCGGTTATATTATCTGAATATCCGGCTCTAAAATTTTCAGAACCGGTTCATTTTATTCATTTATCATTTTATCCGGCTCAAAAATTTACAGAACCGTTTTTTTCCTCGAATTTAATTTTTTTACCAATTTGAAATATCGCTAAACCAAGTAGAAAAAATAAGTTTCGAGGACAGAAGAACCGGGTTTATAAATTTCAAAGTGATCCGTTCGACTTTCCACCCTCTTGCGTGGCGATGGTTATACTAAACTATAGGGTAAATATTTACGTATAACTACCACATCCGGGTACAAACAATAATATAATTGGTTTCAATTGAAAGGTCAACAACTCCTCTTGAATATAATCTCTACTTCTCCGGTCTATGTTCTTCAGAAGTAAATATATACATATAGTTGTGTGGGGTATAAAAATGAAAGTTGGGTATCATCCCGTTTCCAGCCGGTTTTTAACAACGCTTAATTTGGTAAAAAAAAATAACATTTTTGACACAAAATTCGAAAACGAACCAAATGTCACTTTTATCGATATATCGCCGGGAAATGTTGGACGAAGACATCACTAGTTTGTTTGTGATGATCGGTTAATATTTAGGTTTTGAAATGGACCATGTCAAAACTTCTAATAGCCCTAAAAACAAAATATGCTAAACGCTCAAATCCGCCAAAAATTTCTGGCTTAAAAAAGCAACATTTTTGGGTTTTTGCAATTTTTTTCGGTTTTCGCGCAATCAGATTTTTACCTAATTTACAATATTCAGTAATTATAGGATATTAGCTGTTCTCAAGGCCTCACTTCGTAAATGGTTTCCATTGGAAAATTATAACAACTTTCCCATCTATTAGCAAACAAACCAAATAATTTTTTTTAAGTTCTAAACAAAAAACTAAATGATTTTATTGATATCACAGTCTATAAATTAAATTAATGACGGAAACCCGAGGCATAGACAAGGGGAACTGTTTTCACCAGAGGAGCTGAGTGGACAACAGTCTTTACAACAGGAGTGGCAGCATAATGGTGGTGGACAACTGGAGCAGCAGCGGCATAGGTGTGATAAACTGGAGTAACGACAGTTTTGACAACTGGAGCGGCGGCCACATAAGAATGGACCACGGGTGTTGAAACGGTCTTGATAAGAGGTGCCGAGTACACAACAGGCTGGACCAAGGTATGACTATGATGACTCACATAACCGGGAGCAGCTTGAGCAACGACAGCCAAAAGAGCAAAAACGGCAATCTGTTGGTTATTAAAAATATATATTTAATTTAATTCTTATGATCGGAATTAAATTCTAAAACTTTTAGCTTCATTTCAAAAAAAAATCTTACATATTTGAACATTTTGAGAAGTTTTGTTTTTTTTTTCAATTTATGTTTATTGTGTGTTGAAACGTTATTGTTTAACTGATGTCGTTTGTGTTCGTTTGTGCTTTATTTATATGATTTTAAAAATCATTTTTGGAAAACAAATGATCTTCGGAAACATTTACGCAGCTAAAATTTGTCGACTACCACGATAATGGAGTTTAAAAGACCGGTTAGTTGTTAGCTGGCAGAAGAATAATTTCATTTTGTTATGTTTGTGTTTTTGTTCTTTGCATAGTAATAATTTCAAATTTTAATACTCCAACATATAATTATAGTGCGTAACGAACAAAAAAATGTAGATGAAACGTGTTATAAAATTACTATGGGCCACTAATTGAAACACATTTTTATATGACATAAGAATCGAGCATTCCATGCCTTTTTTACAGTTATAAATATTATTAATCCGTTTGCAACGCCTTGATCTGACCTCGTCAATATAGCCACTAAAATCACTATGGAGTTAAGCATGTTTAAAGTTTCGTATTTTGCTCTTAGTTTGGTATTACTCTAGGATGTTTGGTATTGAACATGCGATATTAGGGTTCACATTTTTGTATAGCATCATTAATAATTTAGACGTATTTTACAACCGAAGAGTCTGTAATTTGGCATCCATTTCGGATTTTTAATGGGTAAATAACTTCTTTGTAGAATTGTAGAATTTTAATATAGGTTCATGTTTTTAGATATTTTCGGATTCACATGGTTTAGAAAATGTCGCTACCAAAAATTGTTAACATTGGTCAGTGTTCAGGGGTAGTCCCAATTGATCGATATTTTAATGGGTTTAGCCACTCAAAAGTAACTTTAATTTCGCATTGTGGAGTTTCGAAGGCTCATCACTGTAGGTCGACTTTTGCACGCAGTCCACATAAAAAACTATGTTCGCTATTCTCCCCTTAAAGGGGCTGTAAATTCGATTTAAATAAACGTCCCCCCGATTTGTGTACATTTAATATTTATTTTTGAAAACTATGCTTGCTGAAATGTTTCGATGTATTTCATAACCCCATTATAAACATTTTTGATACTCTGAAGTGACTCAAATCTGGCATTCCGAACTTCAAACGAATAAAAAATTCTTTCCACAAACTGTTCAATATAAGTTCGTGTTCGTCTCTTCCATACAAAGAACCCGCTAATTTTTCAATGTGTTGATGATCCCGTTTTCCAACCTGAATGTTTGTATTTTTGGTTTTCTTTTCCAAAATAAAGAACCTACTACCAGAATACAACACTAAATAGAGGATGTAGAAAGTTCGTCCCGACCGAACTTAACTAAACTAAAAGTTATTCTACCTGCGTTTCCACAGAGTATTAAAAAAGAGTTCCGACCGAAGGTAGGTTTTTAGAGGGGTTCAGATGTTTTTTACACCCTTCAACACACTGTGGTACAGGGTATTATGTATTTGTGCATATGATAGAGATAGACACATGGTTCCTTTTGAGAATATGCATAGAATCACTTTCTGAGTCGATTTATGCATGTCCGTCCGTCCGTCTGTCTGTCGATGTTAAATTGTAAACAAACTACAGGTCGCATTTATGATCCGAATTGGATAAAATTTGGTACAGTTCACTTATTTGACCCAAGGACGAACCCCATTGAAATTGGGAAAAATCGGTTCAGATTTCAGATTGGCATAGAGTACTGAATTGGGTCCAGAATGATGTGGGCTAAATTTCGAGAAAATCGGTACAGTTTTAGATATAGTTCCCATATATAGTTTTATCCGATTTTGGCATATTTGGCATAGAGTACTGAATTAGGTCTAGAATGATGTGTGCTAAGTTTAGTGAATATCGGTTCAGATATAGATATAGCTCCAATATATAGTTCTGTCCGATTTAAGGTAAATGGTGCACTAAAGTCCCTAAATATCATTCGATTTGCACGAAATTTGGCATAGAGTACTGAATTGGGTCCAGAATGATGTGTGATAAGTTTCGTAAAAGTTGGTTAAGATATAGATATAGCTCCCATATATAGTTTTGTCCGATTCTATGTAAATGGTGCACCAAAGTACCTATATATCTTTCGATTTGCATGAAATTTGGCACAGCATACTGAATTAAGTCTGGAATGATGTGTGCTAAGTTTCGAAAAAATTGGGTCAGATTTATATGTAGCCCCCATATATATTTTCTTCCGATTTATGGTCAATGGGTCTCCAAAGTCCCTATATATCTTTCGATTAGCACGGAATTTGGCATAAGGTACTGAATAGTCCAGAATGATGTGTGCTAAGTTTCGTGAAAAGACGACATCTGTAAAGATACATATGTAAAATATTCCCAAGGTGGTGAAGGGTATTATATAGTCGGCCATGTCCGACTTTACTACTTTCTTTACTGGTTTTAGAAGAAGAGACTGTAGTCCTGCATTCTAAGAAAATATTTATATGTTTTCAGAAAAGGTTTATTTTTTAACATCGCCTTGGTTAACACAGCTATCATTAAATACGAGGACAGTTCGGAAAGTTCTTAGCCTAGTACAAAAAGCGCGGTATAAACAGAAAATTTTAAGTGTTTTGTTATGAACACATGGCAACTCCTTCATATAGGAACAGATGTTAAAAAATATGCATCCGCAATTTTTACAATTCTATATGAAGCAGTTGCCAGATCAAAGCAAAATTTAACATGTGTTCATACGAGAAATGGAAGTTTCCAAAGCATTTAACTTTTTTCTGTTTATATCGCGGCCTAATGATGGACAATTTGATTGGTAAATGGACTGACAACAGTCTTTACAACTGGGGCAGTGGCAACATAGGAGTGGACTACTGGTGTCGATACGGACTTAATAACGGGGGATTAGTACACAACAGACTGGACTAGGGTGTGGTGACCCACAATACTAGGAGGAGCTTGGGCTGGATGGTGCCCAAGCTCCTCCTAGTATTGTGCATAGTGAAAATAACAAACTATTTGGTGATAGAAAATATTTAAAAAATAGTGGTAATCTACATATATTCTGGACTTGTTCCTGAAGCTACGGATCTTACGCATTTGTATATTTTGATTTAGGTTTGTATTTATGTTGGCTTGGACAGTTTTTGATGAACTGATGACACTTGTAAATTTTTCTACGGCTTTTATATGATTTGAGAAAAAGAGATGATATGCAAATATCTTCATAGTTTTGATTTCTATACAATAACCTAATCTTGTCTGTTCTTTAGGAGTTATTAAAAATAATTTATTCATTGGTTTTTTTATGGTTATTATTTATTTATTTATTTTATTTATTTTTTTTTTTTTTGTATCAAAGCAACAACATCTTCCATCTATAAATAAATCGTAAACAATCCAAACCAAATCAATCATTAAATATTTACATATGTATAGAGTTCTAGTTGTTGTTGTGTGTTTTACATTCAAAACCAAGCCCCCATTGATTCAAATTTTTGTTGTTGTTTCTATGCCGTTTTTTAATACCCTCCACCGTAAGATAAAGTATATAATTTATCACTCCGTTTGCAACTCTTTGAAATATTGACCGTAGATCCTTTTAAGGTAAAAAATTATTGATTTTTTACGAGAAAATAAATCCAGTCCGGGTTTTCTCCCTGAAGAGAACACAAAGATCCTGCCATCTAAAAAAATATGATTTATTTCTTTGGGTCGTCGATATTGATAAGTTCTTCGCCAACAGCCCTTGTGTTGATTTCAGACCTAAAGGATAAAATTCGTAAGGCTATGTCAGCCAACCAAAGAGCTGTGAGAGAAAATCTTCCTCACCGAAAATTTTATATGGAGGTCCCTGAATTAACATATACCACATAAATTATATTATTGTTCCCTTTAAAAAAAATAAAAAAACCCCATAATTTTAAATTAATTCGATTTTATTCAACTCGACTGATTGGCAGAAAAATTATTGACGGAGACCGGTGGTATAGACAACTGGAACAGTCTTAACCAAGGGAGCGGAATGGACAACAGTCTTTACAACTGGAGCGGAAGCATAGTGATGAACAACTGGAGCAGCGGCATACTGATGAACAACGGGAGTGGCAACTTGGCTGACAACTGTCTTGACAACTGGGGCTGTGGCAACATAGGAGTGGACTACAGGTGTGGACACAGTCTTAACTACGGTGGGGGATGAGTACACAACAGGTTGGACCAAGGTATGATGACCGAGCAGATGACCAGGAGCAGCTTGGGCAACAGCCAAGAGAGCGAAAATGGCGAACTATTGGCAGGAGTGAAGAAATAATTAAAATTATTATGCTAAATTTTAAACTATTTATTCTCCGAGCGTTAAAACTTACGTATTTGAACATTTTGAAAGAAGTTAGGAGTTGATTTAGTTTGCAACGTTATTGACGAACTGATGACTTTTGTAAAGCATTCAAATACTTTTATATGATTTGACAAGAAAATAAACAAATAATCTTCACCAATCTTAATACAAAAGATTTTTATCGTTTGTATTCTTTATTTGGAACTATTAAGGAGTGAACCTTCAAAAGTTAATTTTCAGTTTTTTTTTTTATTAATATAACCTCTCCCTACATAGAAAAGATGATCTATTTAAAGCTCGTTAAACACCAAATCAATCATCATAATATTTGCATTTATATAGCGTTCTAGTTTTTGTGCGTGTGTTTTGTTTATAGTTTAATTCAAAGGCAGCTCCCCCCTCTCCACACCATCTTAAAATCATTCGCATATATAAAAAATCATTTAAATTCTATTGTTAAAAAATTTCGCTCTATTTCAAACACCTGCCTAAGGTTAAAAGATGTAAATTTGTATTATTTGTTTTTTTTTAATATTGCCGTTTTAGTTTGAAGTAAATCGAAACAGTTCCACGTGTAGAATACAATACCTGTCTCCAACGCAAATAACACATTTAATACATTAAATTAATTTCAACAATGCCCTATTATCTGTTTTGTCCAAATTATTGAATGGGTGGCCCACTTTAATATTGATAACAAAATAAAAAGTAGCTGTTTAAGGGCTTGGATAACCCGGAAATAGATTTCGGAAGTAATAAATATTACAAGACATTTTGTATGAATGGTTTACATTTTGAAAATATGAATTAATTAGCCAATATTTCAAGTGTTATCAGATCATTAGGGTTGGATTTTGTAAAGAAAACTCTTTAGGGGCCATTACATTCAAGGTTATTAAGCGACGAGTTTTTAATGAAAATTTTCCCACGCGTCATCAATATGTGTGGATTTTTTTAAAGAATATTTTGCTAAGGTCATCCAAAGGCGTGGATTTTTTAAAGAATATTTTTCTAAGGTCATCCAAAGGCGTGGATTTTTTAAAGAATTTTTTTCAGAGGTCATCTACAGGCGTGGATTTTTAAAGAATTTTTTTAAGGGCCATCTACAGGCGTGGATTTTTTTTAAAGAATACTTTTCTTAGGTCATCCAAAGGCGTGGATTTTTTAAAGAATACTTTTCTAAGGTCATCCAAAGGCGTGGATTTTCTAAAGAATAATTTTCTAAGGTCGTCCAAAAGCGTGGATTTTTTAAAGAATATTTTTCTAAGGTAATCCAAGGGTTTGGATTTTTTAAAGAATATTTTTCTAAGGTAATCCAAAGGTTTGGATTTTTTAAATATTTTTCTAAGATAATCCAAAGGTTCGATTTTTTAAAGAATATCTTTCTAAGGTCATCTTAGCAAAGGTCATAAGAGTTGAAGTAAAACCAGTAAGGAAAGTAGTAAAGTCGGATTGGACCGACTATATGATACTCTTCACCACTTGGGGTATATTCTACATATGTATCGTAACAGACGACGCATTTTTGTTATATATCTATATCTGAACCGATTTTCACCAAACTTGGCAGACATCATTCTAGACCTTATTCATTACGCTGTGCCAAATTTCATGCAAATCAAACGATTTCCAGGGGCTTTATTGGACTATTTACCTAAAATCGGGAGAAGCTATATATGAAACGATTTTCACGAAACTTTGCACACATCATTGTAGACTTAATTTAGTACGCTGTGCCAAATTCCGTGCAAATCGAAAGATACATAGGGTACAAAATTTACCTTAAATCGGACGAATATATATATGGGAGCTATATCTAAATCTGAACCGATTTTCACGAAACTTTGCACATATCATTCTAGACCTTATTCATTACGCTGTGCCAAATTTCGTGCAAATCGAAAGATATATAGGGACTTTGGTACACAATTTAGCTTAAATCGGACGAAGATATATATGGGGGTTATATCTAAATCTAAACCGATTTTCACGAAACATTGCACACATCATTCCAGACCTTATTCATTAAGCTGTGCCAAATTTCGTGCAAATCGGAAGGTATATAGGGAAGATTTACATTAAATCAGAAAATATATAAGGAAGCTATATCTAAATTAGATTTTCAGGAAACATAACACACATAATTTACTAATTCATTAAAATTTCGTGCAAATCAAAATATTGACAGGGGCTTTATTGGACTATTTACCTAAAATCGGACGAAGCTCTATATAGGGGCTATATCTAAATCTGAAACTTTGCACACATCATTTTTTAGTACGCTGTGCCAAACGAAAGATATATAGGGATTTTGGTACACAATTTACCTTAAATGGGGCGAAGCTATATATGGGAGATATATCGAAATCTGAACCGATTTTCACGAAACTTTGCACACATCATTCTAGACCTTATTTATTACGCTGTGCCAAATTTCGTGCAAATCAAAATATTTACAGGGGCTTTATTGGAATATTTACCTAAAATCGGGCGAAGCTATATATGGGAGCTATATCTCAATCTGAACCCATTTTCACGAAACTTTGCTCACATCATTCTAGACCTTATTTAGTACGCTTTGCCAAATTACGTGCAAATCGAAAGATTTCCAGGTACTTTAGTGGACTATTTACCTAAAATCGGGCGAAGCTATATATGGAAGGTATATGTAAATCTGAAACGATTTTCTAAAAACTGTTCACACATCATTCTACACTTAATTCAGTACGCTATGCCAAAATTCGTGCATATCAAAAGATTTCCAGGGTATTTATTGGACTATTTACCTAAAATCGGAAGAAGATATATATGGGAGCTATATCTAAATCTGAACCGATTTTCGCGAAACTTTGCACACATCATTCTATACTTAATTTAGTATGCTGTGTCAAATTTCGTGCAAATCGAATGATATATAGGGACTTTGGTACACAATTTACCTGAAATCGGACGAAAATATATATGGGAGCTATATCTAAATATTGGAGCTATATGCCAAATTTCATCCAATTCGGATCATAAATGTGACAATTTAACATGAACAGAAGGACGGACGGACATGCATAAATCGACTCAGAAAGTGATTCTACGCATATTCCCAAAAGGAACCATGGATCTATTTCGATTATTTTTGCCTGTAACAAACATATGCACAAAGACATAATACCCTGTACCACAGTGTGGTGAAGGGTGTAAAAAACACAATATCACACAAATGATATTTATTTCAATAACTGGAGTCATTGGAGGGGGGGTTTGCTTTTGAATTAAACCAACTTCAACAAAAAAAGCACAGAAATCACAAGTCTATAGAAATGTAAATTTTACGTGACTGATACAGTATTATTATTGTCTTGTATATACTAAAAATAGATCTTCTAGTTGGGGATAGATTACTTTAATACAAATTAAATCAAATAAAACATTGAATGTATGCTCTTCAATCACTTCACAGTGAATACAAAAGATTGCTGTAGACAATACAAATATGTTTGAAAATCATTGACTTAATTTGATATTCTAAAAAATCATATAAAAGATATTGTATGATTTACAAAAGGCATCAGTTAATCTATAACGTTCCAATCAAAAACAACTCCAACTCAAATCAAAATGTTCAAATTCGTAAGTTTTGGTACATCAAGATGAAGAAGAAGATCACTATTAAGAATTATTTTTTTTAATTTTTAGTTCGCCGTCATTGCTTTGTTGGCTGTTGCCGCCCAAGCTGCTCCCGGTCATTTGGGTCATCACAGCCATACTTTGGTCCAACCTGTTGTGTACTCTTCCCCCACAGTCATTAAGACTGTGTCAACGCCTGTGGTCCATTCCTATGTTGCCACTGCCCCAGTTGTCAAAACTGTTGTCAGCCAAGTTGCCACACCTGTTGTTCATCAGTATGTCGCTGCTCCAGTTGTCCATCAATATGCCACCGCTCCTGTTGTAAAGACTGTTGTCCATTCCGCTCCTTTGGTCAAGACTGTTCCAGTTGTCTACACCACCGGTCTCCGTCAATAAGTTTTACAAAGACTGTGATTTGAATAAAATAGTTTAGTTTTTTTAATCGAAAACAATATGATGACTTTTACTTCGTTTTCAAAATTTTGGTTGGGGCCTTGGGAATGGGTAGAGATGGTATTCAACGGATAAAAATCCAAGGGGTGGGTAAATGCCGTATAAATAACCATTTGCGGGTATTTATTTGTGTATTTACTATATAGGATCTCTACTACAACATCTTACACCCTATTTCCGGGTTTCTGTTATCAAATCGATTTAAAATAGTTTTCTAATACTTTAAACATATTGACAAATACGTGGGTAAATATCCGAATATTTTCCCAAACAGTGGGTATAAAATCGGGATATATATTTAAAATGGACCAAAATCGCTACAGAGGCCGCAATTATGACCCAAACATCTCGAATTTTTACATGGAGAAGGGGATTGGGCCAAAGAATAAGCATGCCTGTTTTGATAAAGATCGGTCAATATTTAGCGGATCAAATTGACCCTGACTTTTGTGTGAAAAATTGCAAAATTTTTATTCTGGGGCGTATGTACTTCCTCCTGAAGTTCTCGAGAAGTTGATAGTATATCCAAGAGTAGTTGTTGACCTTCAAATTGATACCAATTATATTGTCGGGTGTGCTCAGATATGGTAGCTATACATAATAGGGTAAATGTGTCCATGTGCATAGTATTACTATTACTCCATTAGAGGAAGGAAATGTCGCGCTGATCGCTTTCAAATTGTAAAGGAAGTTCCGATTATGGTCAAGGACGACGCCTATAGTTTTCGGTAAAGTTAAGATTTCATTCAGGGGATGCAATGAACGGAAAACTTTAATTTTGTCAGATTTTCTAGTCGCTCTAGAGGCTATTATTATATGCAGAACATCGCATATTTTACAAGGTGAAGGGGATGTGATCAAATACTTAAAGCGGTTGTTTAGATGATGATCGGTCAATATTCCGAGGTTCAAATCAACCAAAACGTAAAGTGACCTGGTTTTTATTTTATGGCGTAAAAATTCACTTCATGAAAAAAATGGAAAATATGCCAGGGTTAGAAAGTGGAGCTGTTGACCTATAATCGATCAAGAAGATGCAAATATGGTAATTGGGTAAATACTCAAAATGTACCTTTATACGGGGTTATCAGAAAACATGAAACTACGTCGATACCCATAGAGAACTCTCTGTGCCAAATCACAGCCAATTTGATTGTAAAATGTGGCTAAAGACAAAAATAACCTTAAATCGGAAAGTATGGCTATGTAGGAGCTATATCAAAACTTTGACGCAGATACCACATTTTCTATACCAATATTCGATTTGACATTAAAAACCAGTGAGCAAAATGTTGACCACCTGCGTCATGTGATGAGTTTATACCCAATTTTTGGGTATATACTCGGGTACCCAATGTATTTTATAGGTTCTTCGACAAATATTTCAAAGAGTTACGAACTATAAAAAAACTCAAAGCCAAATTCTGTAGCACTGTGTAGCCCATTCATTAACATTTGACAATGTTGACAGTCAAATTTTGACATTCCAATCGAGCAATCATTAGAAAAATCATTGCTACACTTAAATCATTAAAGTCCGTAATTCTCATTAGTCAAGGAAATTATCACATCTTTTTTGAAAACTGAAACGTAAAAAATTCTAAAATTTCAATCACCAAATAAATGTATAATTAATGATTTGTTCCAAACTAGAAAAAAAAATTTAAACAAAAACTATTAGCCGCAACTAACTAAATAGCTGACTGATTGACTTACTGACACGCGTATTACCAACAAACCACTTCGAACCGGTTAGGCTGTAAAACAACAAAATAGAAGAGGCCGAAAAAATAAAACAAAAACATTATTGTCATTCATGTAGCCATGAACAATTCGAATTACTTCGAAGCGTTAACAGAAAATTTGGTATCATAAATGGAAAATAAGAAGAAGAAGAAATATACTAAAATTAATAAATATACCATGCAGTGTTGAAATTATAACAGTTTCAAAACGCATTTCAATAAAAACATATTGAATTCCATATTATAAACAAAATCTAGATTTTCAAATATTGTGTTTTGTGTGTGGAAATGGGATCTGATCGGAAATTAGATCACAATAAAAGTAAATGCTCGCTTGATATTGTTGTAAAAATGTCTAGGCAGTAACAATTGAATTGCTTTTCGAATATAAGGATCGTCAATTGAATGAGTGAAACGGGAACCAATTTGGAAATCGAAACGACAAAGCGGAAAGGTTGCACATCTTTCTCAAACGATCACCAATAAATGTGTTTTTTAATTTATATGATTCCAATTCACACCTCTAAAATTTCCATATACCCTCCACTACGTGGTGTGAATTAAAAATTCTTGAAATTCGTCGGAAAATTGTTCATGCTCTGAAAAAATAATGTTCCAAATTACAGACATTCAGGTTGGAAAACTGGGCTAGGAACTTCAACATACCGACATTTTTGGCGTAACATGTACAGTAGATATCGGATATAAGAAATTCAAAAAAAGACGGAGATTTCTTTCTTATATGCGTTTTTTTCTTATATGGAATTATCGGATATAAGAAAGTATAAGCTCGGTGTTTTTGATAATCTTTCTTATATGCGATTTTTTCTTATATGAGATGTGCTTATATTCGATATCTACTGTGTATGGGTCTATTTTCGAATAATTTCTGGAAATAAGTTTTTATTCAGCAGGAATCCGCCATATGCCAAATTATAGCAACTTCGATGAGAAAATTCGTTTAAAACCTGGAAACTTGGGCAATATTGATAATTTATGTGAGGAATTTTTTATACTCAATGATCATACAAACTATAAAGTTACAGCCAATTTGGTGGAAACACGTGCCTCTAAGCCCCTATTACCGACATTTGGGAAGTAGCGTTTTATGGTGGCTACCAAAAAAAGTTTACCAAGTGAGAACCGAATATATCAAATGATTAGGGTGATTAGATTGAAAAACGTGACCAAAATTTAAGATGGAGCATTCTATGTGTCTGGACCGAAAATTCATATTTTAAATACCAAACATCAAGGCTTCTATCTTAGACAGAGTGGTAGAGGGTATGAATGTTAGCAATTTATATATTCATCTATAACAATATTCTCCCCCTTATGATAATCCCTATCAAACATAATAACCCGCTTTTTTGTATAGCCTACAGCTTCTTTTTCGAAATATTTTGGAAAACACATATGCGAATTTTATAACACCATTGCAGAGTTCGGTGTGTGAAAGAAATAAACAATGGAACGCAAAACTAGCCTCAATCCAGTGAGAGGATAGACCACAATTGTAAACAAGGGAAAGAGTCGGTCAAACATATACATGTAATATTTTTTTTTATTTTGGTGGAGGGTATACAAATTCATCATCTCCCATTTAAAGTGATCTCTCACAAATATAATTAAATGCTTATTGTTTTTTTTTTTTTTATTTCGAAAAAAACAAAAATTTCCTTTCATCTGTGTCTTTAGTTCTGGGAAAAGTCTTAGAATCTAAACCCAATATTTGGATGGGTTTCCTTTTAGATCGAAAAAAGTGCAAGTAAATACGCTAGCCTTAAGACTGAGGATATTATGTGCATTCATATAAAAATACCCTCAGTCTATTAAATATGTAGTAAAATTTCATCCGTTTCGTATGAAACTTACGAATTTTAAGATATTTGAGAAATTTGGGTGGTACAAGTTAAATTGAATTGATAGGGCACTATTTTTTACACAATATAAATTATAATGTTTTACCCAAGTCCTTGAAGGATTAAAAAATCTCTTTTCAGATGTTATGGCAAATCCCACATATTTGCAACGTTTTAATCGGAATATGCTGGCAGCATTCCAGGTTCTTTGTAGGTTGAAAATATATTTTCAGAAAATTTCTATATATTTTCTCTGATGATGATGAGTTTTTTGCTGATAACTCGAATGTTACACAGAAAATAAAATAATTCGTATACTATGTGTTCAGAAAGTGTCCGAATTTCTGCATTTTATGAATGCAATTCATAAAATATTAAATAAGTATCGAGGGAGAGCGAAAAACAACTTTGGAGTTGTGATTTGTGATGTTGGTGGGTTTTCTATGGCACACAAAATAATTCTCGTTTTGATTTTGTGTTTTTTTCAATGCCTTACATATTCTCACTTACATACGTGTTCTTATTCTGCGTCATTATAACAATCCTATAAAATGTTAACCTTTCGGTTGAGCTCGTTGCTTTTAACCACACTTATTTGTTATATTGTATTTGACATTTGTATCGAAATAATTTGGAAAATACATATGCGAATTTGATAAGACCAATGCAAAGGTCGATAACAGTGTCTGAAATAAAAAACAATGGAATGCAAAACCAGCCACTATTGAATGAGTGAAGAGATCGCGATTGTAAACAAGAGAAACAGCAAGCTGTTGAAAAACCAACAACCACCAAGCGTGGGGAGAGACAGAGACCGATACCAAAACAAAACACAGCCGAACAATTAATGGTGGAGGTTCTTTTTCTTGAGAGGTATAAATTTGTTTTTGAGAGAGAGAGAGATAATGAGCGCAAGTAGTGGCAAAGTAGAGCGAAATATGAAACAAGTCTTGATATTAATGAAATGTTTACCTTTTTTGGAAAAAATAGTGGCTTTCTCATTATTATAAAATAAATAACAATAAAAAAACAGTAAATGAAATTATGAAAATATTCATTAACATTTGTGTTTGTTTGCGGCTATAATTATTTTTCAGATCACATGATTTCAGTCAAATCGAATGAGGAATATTTTTGTGAACTATAGGGGAGAGGGGGGCACTTTTGAACGTGGGGCAGCTTTGAACAGCGCTCATAAAATCTTGGTTTAACATTTTTCCGACCAGCAACCAAATTTTTTTATGTGCCAATCGTGTTCTTCATCTGCGTAAAACACTTTGGCTAGCTTTTTCAGTTGTCGACAAATTGTACATGGGTGACCATGTTTTCCCAGTGTAATTGTAAACTTATTTTCATTTGTTTGTAAGGGCGCAGGAAGAATTTTGTGAAAGTTTTCTTTCGTTAAACAATTTTTTTGCTTTCCAATAATCATTTCAAACATATCTAATGTATTTTCTTTCATATATATTTACTACAAAAAAAGTTATTATAAATTTCCGTAAAATACCACAGGTGGGGCACCTTTGAACATACCCAGTAAACTCCAGTAAAAAAAGGAGTTTTTAACTTTTGGCTTCGATTTCTCAAAAATTTCAAATGGGCTAATAAGAGTACGAAATTAGCTGTATTTTTCACCATATAAATTTTTGTTTTTATGTAATTTTATGCTTTAATAAATTTTGATCAGAATTTTCTAATTTTCGAATATTTTTCTATATATTTTTTAATAAAAAATGCATTTCTGATATATATGAATACAATACATATATATTTGAACATAAACACTGTAAAAAACCATGCCGTTCAAAAATACCAAGCTTTGTTCAAAGGTGCCCCCCTGGGGGGCAGTTTTGAACACTTTGACTTCCTCCATTAAAACAGTAATAAAATATGTATATCAAGCTTAAAGTATGTCATATGTATATTCATTTTAAAGGTTACATATGTACCAATTAGTTAAAACTTATAAGAAGCCAAAAATTATAACATGAACATTTTTATGAGGCTTGAAAGAAAAAAGTGTTCAAAGGTGCCCCCCTCTCCCCTACCCTCGTTCTATCTGAAGTTCTTGTGCGTCCTTATTTACTTCAAGACGAGATTTTATGACCTCTAAATATTCAATAAAAATATCATAAAAATGTAGATAGGGTCGGCAATGACACGATATCGATATTCGTATATTTTAATCATCCTTTTTTACATTTACCCAATACGTGCGAACTTTTGTTTTTACACTGATGTCATACATGTGCTTTTGTTTTCATGAAAAACATATATTTAATTAATTTATTTAAACATTTAACATTTAATTTAAACATTTCAAAGAATTGTTTTATGAAAATATCTTTTTTTGTTTCTATAAAATAACTAATTATTACTGAGAGTAAATATCAAATATTATTTTCCCATTTACATATAATGCCTTTTTAACTTTAATTGCCCCCTGGGCTGCTTTAGGTTTAGTTTTCCATTTGCATATTGTTGTCCAACCAATTTACCTGACCTAACAACAAAGTTCCTACCCATACACATAAATCTCATACAGAAATTTAATTAAAACGGTTCTTATTGTTCTTGCTGGCAGTATGTTTGGGTTTTAGTGTTTCATGGTAAAACCCCACATAGCAAGTTTTTGAAATTGTGAGTATTCCTGATACCACCACAACACCATCGTAAAGTGAAATATATACAGTAAACCCCGCTTAATTACCTTGGTGACAATTTCAAGATTGTTGAGTATTTAACCGTGGAAGGTAATTAAGCGTGAACGGTTAATTACCTCGCTGGGGTATTTATCCGTGGACCCCGGTTAAATACCCAGCAAGGGTAAATATCGGTGGACATTGGTGTTTTGTTTTTTCTTTCTTTTTTTGCTTGAGATATTAAGTGGAGCTTTAGTTTGATAGACAAAGATGTATTTCTTTGAAAACTTTCAAAACAATAAATTTTATGTGCACATGTGTGGCAAGTGTACTAGCAAATGTAAGCCATTTTAAGTGAAGTTGCCATATTTAAAAAAATACATTGGGTAATTACATGGGACAGATTTAAAGGTACGGTTACTTTGGGGTAGGTTATTTAGGGGCAAATAAATGAAATGGGTAATTAAAAGGGGGTAATTAAACGTGCAATTTTGTAAGGGATTGTACTGAAAATAACTGGGTATTCTGAAATCGGATTAATTAACCGTGGAAGGTAATTAAGCGGGGAATACTGTATTAAATTTGTCATTCCGTTTGCAACATCTCGAACAATTCAAAGGAAACATCATAAAGTATATATTCTTGATTGGAATCAAATTCTACATCGATTTAGTTATAGCCGTTTGTCCTCCTGTTGAAACCACGACAGAGCTAGGAATATTTAAAGTAGGGATTTTAAAATTTTGCATATATCGGTACCCCCGATATTTTTTATTTTATAAACATTTGAGACCGTTTTTCAATAGAATTGGTACTGATTCAATATTAGGGATTCTCATTTAGCAGACAAAGCGTAGTTTGATATTCCGTTTATTGAAAGCTCCGATCGATTTTACGAAATTTGAATATATGTAAACCTTATGAAGTATATAAAAAGTTCGGCCAGACCGAAATTAGTTTACTACCACAAAGTTATTATTATCCTTGCTGCTACTTCAGGGTTAATTTTCAACCCACATCCTGTTGTCCAACCAATTAACCCTTTACTGCAACAAATATGTTTGATACTGATATCTCCTCAGTTCTAGTCCAGCAAAGTTTTACAAATTTAATCAAAATATTTCCTGATGCCAATGTGTATGTTTTGGCTTCTGTGTTTCATCGTAAAACTTCTAGTGGTGCTGCTGATGTTTGCTGTGGTCTTTACATCTTTTACTTTTACACCCACATACTTTTAAAATAGCTAGCTGTTGCTTAAACTGTCCACATGTTGCTGTAACAATTTCTCTTTACAGTGTGTACACCTTTTATACACATCAATATTTTGTAAAAATATTAGATTTTTCTTAAAAAATCCTTGCCATTATCAGTGTTATTCTCAAAACGTGTATGACCTTGATAGACCTTAAACAAATATTTTAATAATTTTTTGAATCAAAAACTTTTATTAAAACGCTCAAAATTATTCAAAAATAATTCAACACTTAATGATGGACAACATGGGTGACGGGGGCAGCATGAACCAAGGGAACAGAGTGAACAACTGGAGCAACGATGGCGGCATTGGAGTGAATTTGGACATGCGATTGATGGGATACAGCATGGCTGACAACGGGAGCAGCATGATAAGTGTGGACAACAGGAGCGGCAGCAACAGTCTTGACAACGGGTACAACAGGCTCAACAGTCTTCACCACTGGGACAACAGGTTCAACGGTCTTGACAACCGAAACAGCTGGGGCGGCATGAACAGTGGTCTTGACCACGGGAGTGACAACAGGTGTCACAACAGCCTTGTTGTGGACACGAGTGAAACTTTGATGAGACACAGCCGAAGGAGCACTGTGGACAACAGATCCAACCTTAGCCAAGACGGGTTCCTGGACGACGGTATGATGTTCGGTAACCAAACCAGGAGCGGCCAAAGCCACGGCTACACAAGCGAAGAATGTAACCTAGGTTTCAAGATAAATAATTTAATTGCGTATTTAAAATTTTCAAAATAATTATTTTTTTTTCTTACGAATTTGAACATTTTGAAAAAAAGTTGGTTGTGTTGTTGAGTTGGTCTCAAATGAAACTGATAACTTCTGCTCATTAGGCCAATGATTTTATACCCTTATTTGGTTGACGAAATTTGACAATTAACATGAACTTTGTTGGTACACGACTTGTTGTTGTTGTTGGTGTAATTGAAAGGCAATGTACAACCAACCACCACCTACGCTGATCTTGAACTTCGCTAAGAGATTATTTCTGGCTTCTTTTCAATTATTTTGATTTATTTTTTTTCTGATAAAAAATACAGTAGCCAGAACGAATGATACATAAAGAAACCCAGAAAGAAAGAAAAACGGAAATAGACAAAACCAGAAATTGTTGAAAAGTCATTGAACACGATTTTTGCTATTTAATCTGGTTTTGAAATTGTAAGTATTGAAATTCAAACTAATTATTTTTTGATAATATTTTTTATCTCAAATATTAGAAAAAAATATACAGAACTAAAAAAACAATCAAATAGTTTTGGGGAAATGTTCGAGAATACGTTAAGCTTATTTTCTTGAAAGAGCCAGCGATAGTGATTTTTAGTGGGTCAGATAGGGTAGAATTTTTAGTACAACACTTTTAAAAGTGACAAAAATCTTGGACAATTTCAGGAATATTTTGCATGAACCCAGGTTTGGATTTTTTATACGAATAGTTCTTTAAGGACCTTCGCCAGCGTGGATTTGTTAATGAATAACATTTTAAAGGGCCATCAATAGGCGTAAATTTTTCAATTTTTTTTTCAATTAATTTTGTGAAAAAATATATAATATTTTTTTCAAGATTCAAGAATTGGATTTCTAAGAGAACAGGTTCTCAAGGATCATCATTTGAATAGGTTATTAAAAATGATTCATGGAACTATACATCCGTAAATTTTTTATAGAATACTTCTTCAAGGGATATAATTTTATAGAATATTTTAAAGGGCAAATTTAAAACGTGGATTGTTTAAAGAGACAGGCGCAAGTATCTTTTTTATAGAATATTTGTTATGGACAGTCTCAGGCGTGGGTTTATTATAGAGTATGTGTTCAGGGGCAGTTTAAAGAGTGGGTTTTTAAAAAACCAGAAAGGAAAATACTAATGTCGGACTGGGCCGACTTATGATACCCTTCACCATTTTGGGTATATTTACACCATTTACATAAAATCGGACGAAAATATATATGGGAGCTATATCTAAATCTAAACCGATTTTCACGAAACTAAGCACACATCATTCTAGACTTAATTTAGTGCACTATACCAAATTTCCTGCAACTTGAAAGACATATAGGGACTTTAGTTCAGCATTTACATTAAATCGGACGAACATATATTTGAGAGCTATATCTAAATATGAACCGATTTCCTCGAAACTATGCACACATCATTCTAGACTTAATTTAGTACGCTATGCCAAATTTCGTGCAAATCGAATGATATTTAAGGACTTTGGCGCACCATTTACATAAAATCGGACGAAAATATATATGGGAGCTGTATCTAAATCTAAACTGATTTTCACGAAACTTAGCACACATCAGTATAGACTCAATTCAGTACGCTTTTCCAAATTTCGTGCATATCGAAATATATTTAGGGACTTTGGCGCACCATTTACCTTAAATCGGACTAACATATATATGGGAGCTATATCTAAATATTAACCGATTTCCGCAAAAATAAGCACACATCATTCTGGACTTAATTTATTCTATACTCAATTCAGTAGGCTTTGCCAAATTTCGTGCATATCGAAATATATTAAGGGACTTTGGGGCACCATTTACCTTAAATCGGATGAAAATATATATGGGAGCTATATCTAAATCTAAACCGATTTTCACGAAACTTAGCACACATCATTATAGAGTCAATTCAGCACGCTTCGCCAAATTTCGTGCAAATCGAATGATATTTAGGGACTCTGACGCACCATTTACATAAAATCGGAAAATATATATGGAAGCTATATCTAAATTTAAAACTATTTTCACGAAACTTAGCACACATCATTATAGACCCAATTCAGTACGCTTTGCCAAATTTCGTGTAAATCGAAAGACATATAAGGACTTTGGTGCATCATTTACCTTAAATCGGATGAAAATATATATGGGAGCTATATCTAAACCTGAACCGATTTTCACGAAACTTGACACACATCATTCCAGACTTAATTCAATAAGCTGTGCTGATTTTGTGCAAATCGAAGGATATATAGGGACTTTGGTGCACAATTTACATAAAATCGGACGAAAATATATTTGGGAACTATATCTATATCTGAACCGATTTTTCCCAATTTCACTAGAGTTCGTTCTTGGGCCAAATAAATGAGTTGTGCCAAATTTCACCCAATTCGAATCAAAAATTCGACTTGTACTTTGTATACAATTTAACATAGACAGACAAACGGACGGACGGATCGATGCATAAATCGATTTAATATTCTTTTCGAGGACCATAAATAGAAGTTTATTTTTGAATAAAATTTTTAAAGGGACCATCATATGCCTAGATATTTAAAAGATTTTCCACGTTCCATCGTAATCGTCGATTTTTATACCCTACTACCCTACCCTATGTTGTCAGGGTAGTATAGCTTTATGCAGCCCCAAGAGTTTGTAACGCCGCGAAATATTGGTCCTAGACCCACCTTTAAGTATACCGATCGTCATATTATGTGTGTCCGTCCGTCCGTCCGTCTGTAAATTTGTAAACACGATACAGGCCACAGTTACGTTTTTTTCTGGTCGCTCCAGAGGCCGCAATTATGGCCCAAACACCGCCAATTTTTGCATGGAGAAGGGGATCGAGGCAAATAATAAGAATGCCTGTTTTCAAAAAAAGCGGTCAATATTTAGCGGGTCAAATGGGTCCTGACTTTTGTGTGGAAAATTACAAAATTTGTATTCTATGCCGTATATATTTACTCCTGAGGGACATAGACCCGAGAAATTAATAGTATATCCAAGAGGAGTGGTTGACCTTTAAATTAATACCAATTATATTGTCGTATGTACTCGGATGTGGGAGTTACACGTAAATATTTACAGGTGTTAGGTATCCAGATATTATTTAGTAATCCATTGCCACACTAGAGGCTGAAATATAGCGATAATCGCTTTGAAATGCTCCATGAGGTTTCTAGTTATGGTCAAGGACAACGCCTATAATTTTCGGTGATGATCAAATAATGATTTTGGGATGAAGTGGACCGAAAACTTATTTTTTGTGTTTTTTAGTCGAATTATAAGCCGAACATCGCAACACAACTCACGGTGAAGGGAATATGGACAAGTAGTTAGAAGGACTATACTGAGTATTAGTAATATTCGGAAAATATGTTAGTGTAAGGAAGAGAGATGTTGGCCTCTTATTGGGAAAGAGGGTGCAACTATCACGAAATATTGCCCAGGCACGGAATAAAACTTCGCAGAAAGTTAGAGTTCCGTGGTAGCTGTGTAGGGTACCGTATGGTCGGCCCCGTCCGACTATACTGCTCCGCTCACTGGTTTTAATGTAATATTTTTAAAGCCTACAACATAGAAAATTGATAGCAAGGCAACAAGAGCAGAATGGGACAAATTGCAAATAAAAAAATCCTTTCCATATCATTCATAAATTTACCAAATTAAACTGATCTACTTTTATTTAAAACATAAAATTCAATCACAGAAAACAGCAAAACAAAACAACATTTAATGATGGACAACATGGGTAACGGGGGCAGTGTGGACAACAGGGACAGAGTGAACAACGGGAGCGACAACAGCAGCATTTGAATGGATTTGGACATGCGATTGATGAGATACAGCATGACCAACAACGGGCACAACTGGGGCCAAGGTCTTCACTACGGGAACGGCAGGGACGACAGTCTTGACAATGGGAGCAGCAGCAACAGTTTTGACTACGGGGACAACAGGTTCAACAGTTTTCACCACCGAAACAACTGGGGCGGCGTGGACGGTGGTCTTGACCACTGGAGTAACAACGGGAGCTACAACAGCCTTATTGTGGACACGAGTGAAACTTTGGTACGATGTGGCCGAGGGAACACTGTGCACGACAGCGCCGACCTTGGCCAACACAGGTTCTTGGACAACGGTATGATGTTCGGCCAACAAACCAGGGGCGGCCAAAGCTACGGATACACAAGCAAAGAAGGCAACCTGGAGGGATGCAATTTATATTTTTATACAATTTAAGAGAACTTTCTTAGAAAATTTAACCTAAAACAAGGACTTACAAACTTGAACATTTTGAATAGAAGTTTTTGATTGTTATGTTAAATTTGTAAAAGCTGAAAGTGAACTGTTTCGGTTGTGAAAACTGTGGAGCCAGTTGTCCCTGTAGTTAAAACTGTTGCTGTTGCTCCTGTTGTCAAGACTGTTGTTCCTGCCGTTCCCGTTGTGAAGACTGTTGTTCCCGTTGTTGGCCATGCTGTCTCTCATCAATCTCATGTTCAAATTCACTCCAATGCTGCTGTTGTCGCTCCAGTTGTCCACTCTGTTCCTGTTGTCCACACTGCCCCCGTTACTCATGTTGTTCATCATTAAATCGTGATTCTATGTTTTAAATAAAATCTGATTATTGTTACTTAAAATTACGACAATTTTTTCTTAAAAAATGGCTCTTTAAAACAAATATTGCTTCATTAATCGGATTTTAAACGATAATTTTTATAAGCAGGCTATATATATAAATATTGCAGACTTTTGAAGACTTGAAAAAATATTCTTAAAAAATTCCCGGCTTTTGAAGACCTTGAAAAATATTTTTTTTAAAAATCCACGCCTATTTATGGCCCGTTGAAAAAATATTCTTAAACCAGTGAGCGAAGCAGTATAGTGGGACGGGGCGAACCATTCGATACCCTACACAACTAACTTCCTGTGGATTTTTATTCCGAGCCTGAGCAATATATTGAGATAGTTGCACCCTCTTGGCCGATTAGAGGTCAACAGCACATCTTCCTTACACTGATATATAGATTGATTTTATCCCAAAATTATTATCTGATCATCACTGAAAATTATAGGGGTTGTCCTTGACCATAACTAGAACCTCATGGAACATTTCAAAGCGATCAGCGCTATATTTTCGCCCTGTAGTGTGGTAATGGTTTATCAGAAAAATATCTGAATACGTAAGCAACTGTAAATATTTACGTGTAACTCGCACATCCGAGTACATACGACAAGATAAGTGGTATAAATTTAAAGTTGAACCACTCCTCTTGGATATATTATCAACTTATGGGGTCTATGTCCTTCAGGGGTAAATATATACGCTATAAAATACAAATTTTGTAATTTTTCACACAAAAGTCAGTCAGTTTATTCTTTGGCCCGATTCCTTTCTCCACATAAAAATTCGAGATGTTCGGACTATAATTGCGGTCTCTAGAGCGACAAGAAAAACCGACAAAAATTAAGTATTTGGTCCATTTAGGGGATGAATATTAACCAGAAGCAATAGGGGTCTTCATTGGCCAGAACCCATCATACATACAAAAGAAGATTGAAGATTGGTCCATAACTGTGGCCTGTATCATGTTTACAAAATTATAATGGACAGACGGACGGACGGACACACATGTCTAGATCGACTCAGCTAGTCGAGATATGACGATCGGTATGCTTAAAGGTGGGTCTAGGACCAATATTTCTCGGCGTTACAAACTTTTGGGGCTGCACAAAGCTATAATACCCTGACAACATAGTTGTGTAGGGTATAAAAATCCTTTTGAAAAAATTGTTCCAACTACCACGGAACTCTAACTTTCTGTTGATGTCTATTCCGAGCCTAGGCAATATTTCGTGATATTTGCACGGGCAAGAGCCCGATTAGAGGTCAAAAGAACATCTTCCTTACATTGACATATATTCCGAATATTGCTAATATTCAGTGCAGCCCTTCGAATTACTTGTCCAGATTCCCTTCACCGTGAGTTGTTTTCTGATGATCGCCATTTAATTTAAAAATTAAGTTTTCGGTCCACTTCATCCCAAAATTATTATTTGATCATCACCGAAAATTATAGACGTTGTCCTTGACCACAACTGGAATCTCATGGACAATTTCAAAGCAATCAGCGCTATATTTCCGCCCTCTAGTGTGGTAATGGGTTACTAAATAATATCTCAGTACGTAAGCACCTGTAAATATTTAAGTGTAACTCCCACATCTGAGTACATACGACTATATAATTGGTATCAATGTAAAGGTCAACCACTCCCCTTGGATATACTATAAACTTATCAGGTCTACGTCCTTTAGGGGCAAATATATACGCCATAGAATAAAAAAATGTTAACTTATCACAAAAAAGTTAGGGTCCATTTGACCCGCTATATATTGACCGATCTTTATAAAAACAGGCATGTTTATTCTTTAGCCCGATCCCGTTCTCCATGTAAAATCTCGCTATGTTCGGGCCATAATTGTGGCCTCTGGAGAGACCAGAAAAACGGATAAAAATTAAATTCATCCCCTAAGTATTAACCGATCTTTACCAAAAACAATAGCGGTCTTCATTGGCCAGAACCCATCCTACATGTAAAATTTCGTGAAGATTGTCCATAACTGTGACCTGTATCATGTTTACAAATTATAATGGACAGACGGACGGACGGACACACATGTCTACATCGACTCAGCTAGTCAAGATATGACGATCGGTATACTTGAAGGTTGGTCTAGGAGCAATATTTCGCGGCGTTACATTGAACATATTCAATTAATTCCATGCCTACCCTTTGAATCATCTTAATCAACGCCTATTTTCGCCCTTGAAAAAAAATTTCTTTAAAAATCCACCAATATTTATGGGGCTTGAAAAAAGTATTCCTTAGAAAATGTACGCCTATTTTTGAGGCTTGAAAAAATATTCTTTAAAAATCCTACGCCTATTTATGGCCCTTGAAAAATATTTTTTGAAAATCCAAGCCTATTTATGGTCCACTGAAGGCTCATGACAAATGTTCTTTAAAAATCCAAGCCTATTTATGGTCCACTGAAGGCTCATGACAAATATTCTTTAAAAAATCCACGCCAATTTATGGTTCTATTTATGGCCCTTAAAAAATAATTCTTTAAAAAATCCACGCCAATTTATGGCCCTTAAAAAATCTACGCCTATTTATGAGGCTTGAAACAATATTCTTTAAAAACCCCCAAAAATATTCATAAAAAATCCAAGCCATATATGGCCCACTGAAGGCCCTAGGAAAATATTCTTTAAAAAATTCACGCCAATTTATGGCTCTGGAAAAACTAACCTTTAAAAAAAAATCGACCCCTATTAATGGCCCTTAAAAAACTAATCTTTAAAAAATAAAAAATAAACTGGCAATATTTATTGAATTTAAAACTATAAGATTTTATTTAAAACATAAAATTCGATGTCAATCTAGAAATAAATAAATCCATATTTAATGATGGACAACATGGGCAACGGGGGCAGCATGGACGACAGGGACAGAGTGAACAACGGGAGCAACGACAGCAGCATTGGAATGTATTTGGACATGAGATTGGTGGGATACAGCATGACCAACAACGGGCACAACTGGGGCCACGGTCTTCACAACGGGAACGGCAGGGACGACAGTCTTGATAATGGGAGCAGCAGCAACAGTTTTAACTACGGGGACAACAGGTTCAACCGTTTTCACCACCGAAACAACAGGTTCAACAGTTTTGACCACGGGAACAGCAGCATGGACGGTGGTCTTAACAACTGGTGAAACAACAGGAGCTACCACGGCCTTATTGTGGACACGAGTGAAACTTTGATGCGAAGTGGCCGAGGGAACACTGTGAACCACAGTACCAACCTTGGCCACTACGGGTTCTTGGACAACGGTATGATGTTCGGTAACCAAGCCAGGAGCAGCCAAAGCCACAGAGACACAAGCAAAGAAAGCAACCTAGAAATGCCAGAGGAGGAGGATGAGATAAGTAAATATGCAAAGGATTCATACAACAAATTCAGTAAGGCCAGAACTTACAAATTTGAACATTTTTTTAAGAAACAAGTGGAGTTGTGGTAATGTTGGATTTGCAAAGGCTCAAACAAAACTGATAACCATTCGTCAGTAACAAAATGTTTTTATAGCCATGTTTCAAAACTTGTTTCAGTGAATACCAAACAAATGTAAAACAATTCCTCTAGGCGCCACCTACACCGCTCGAACTTGAACTTTATCACAATTGATTTGTTCCATTCAATTGATTTTTTTTCTCATTTGTTTATCACATCAACGACGAATGTCAATTAGAATCACCAAAATGTACCACCATATGAACATAATTCAATTTAATGCGATAAACGAAAAACTGGATTTTTAACTACCCCGCTAAATAATGTACGTGATTAATATCAAGTGCTCTGCATTTAGGTTTGACTTAATTGACTAATTTGCCTCAAGTGGTTTTATTACCTCGTCTATTAAAATCAACTCAAAAAAGGGCCAACAATTATGTTTAGTGGTAATTAAGTATGTAATTAGTAAATATACAATATTTAAAGTTTAAATTTGTTTATGCTTATTTTACACCTCTGTACACCTTGGAATGGTAAATGGAATTTAGGTTTATTTTTGAATTGTAAAAATGTGAATTTGTATAAAGCTGAGGCACAATGTAATCAAGCTGTGGATGCCCATGAAACGAAAAATATTCTGAAATAGTCATGCCTTGTGATGACCCTTGAACAAAATATTCTTTTAAAGACCAGGCATTTGATTTAAATTTTTTTATCAGTAAAATTTAAAATTTACTTTAACCCATATACGCTTTCAATGGCCCTTTACGAAATTCATTTGATGACCCCTGAAAGGATATATGATCATATCAAATATATTTTTTAATTTAAGCTATTGAACACCGTAAAGAATTATTGTTAAAAAACCACGCATGTGATGACGTCTGAAATTTATTTTTAAAAAATCTGCACCATTGATGGCCATTTAGAAAATATTATTTAAAAGCACTAAACCAGTAATGGTTCTTGAAGAAAAATTATTTTAAAAGTTCTCGATTATGTGTTATATGAAACAAGAAACTTTATCCTCTAAAAATTCAGACATCTAATAGTCCTTGAAAAACCAGTAAGGAAAGTAGTAAAGTCGGACGGGGCCGACTTTATGATACCCTTCACCACTTTGAGTATATTCAACAGATGAATCCTAACAGACGTCGCATTTTTAACGGATCAGTAAAATGAATTTGGAACCATAAACACGTCATTCTGCAACCGATACTAAATTGTTCATTTGGTCAGATATAGAAGCTATATCTAAATCAGAACCGATTTCCAGAAACTTAGCACACATCTAGACCCAATTCATTACGCTGAGCCAAATTTAGTGCAAATCGAGAGATATATAGGGACTTTTGTGCACACTTTACCTTAAATCGGACGAAAATATATATAAGATATATAACTAAATCTGAACCGATTTTCAGGAAACTTAACACACACCATTCTAGAGATAATTCATTACGCTGTGCCAAATTTCGTGCTTAAGGGAACCCCACCCATTCTCAATTTTAATTTTTCAAGATTTTCAATGGGCTCGTAAATCAATACCAATGCTTGTTAAGGTTTGTAACTTTGCACATATATATTTGAAGATTTAAAAGAGAAGAAAAATAGTTTACAAAAAAAAATTGTTATTGCTTTGTTGTTGTTTTTTGTAATTAAAGAAAAGTCCTTATTTTTGATGGCGGGCATGATAACTCCTCACTGGAACATCGGAATCGAAAATTCCAACGGTGTTAGAAAGAGTATATGCTAGGATTATTGACTTCGCCCTAAAATTAACAAAAGTGTGAAAATCGCCGATTTTTTACCAAAAACCAAGTTAAAAAATAAGGAAGATCTTCACCGATTGGCTTTATCCTAGTTCATACGATAGCTATACACTCACAGAGAAACGTGTAAAAATTTGAAATCGATTGGGTTATTAGTTTTTGAGTTATCGTGCCCGCCATTCGCAAAAGAGAAAAACGCGTTTAAAGTTTGAGCCATCACTTGATGCTGACACAATAAATCGGCTATATCGTCAAGAGTTCTTGAGATTTTCACTTGAAATTTTGTGAAGACATTCTTGAATTAGTGTAGAATCGAATTAAATCAAAAAAATTTTTGACCCCGAGAATGGGGGGGTCCCCTTAAATCGCATATGCATATTCTCAAAAGTGTGTATGTCGTTTCCTTTTGCCTGTTACAAACATATGCATAAGACATAATATATAGTGTGGTGAAGGGTATAAAAAAAATTTGGTTCAAGAACCTCAAAAAAAAATTGACCACCAGAAAAAATATTTATAATTTATAGTGGAGAGATTTGCTACCTAATAAGAACTCGACTAACTAAATTACAGTCAATTCGGTCGAAAAATACGATCAGAACCCCCAAAATACCAAAAATTTGGGGGTACCGTTATATGGGGACTACCATAAAAACTGGACCTATTTTTATAATGTTTAGTGGAGTAATTTGGTACCCAATAAGAACCCAATGTACAAAATTTCAGAGAATTCCGTTATAAAACGTGCCCAAGAACCCGAAAATACCGAAAATTGGGGGTACCCTTATATGGGGGCTCTCCGAAAAAATGGACCTTTATTTATAATTTTTGATAGGGAGATTTGCTACCCAATAAGAACTCAAAGTACCAAATTTCAGCGAATTCAATTAAAAAACGCGCTCAAGAACCTCAAAATACCGAAAATTTGGGGGTACCCTTTTATGGGAGCTATGCCTATACGTCGACCGATTTTCTCCAATTTCAATAGGGTTCGTCCTTGGGCCAATTAAGTAATCTGTGCCAAATTTCATCCAAATCGGATCATAAATGCGACCTGTACTTTGTTCACAAAAATACATGGACGGACAGACGGACATGCGTAAATCGACTCAGAATGTGATTCTATGCATATTCTCAAAAGGAACCATGGGTCTATCTCGATTATTTTTGCCTGTTACAAACATATGCACAAAGACATAATACCCTGTACCACAGTGTGGTGAAGGGTATAAATATTAATTAAATAATCCTTTCCTCTGATGACCCTAGAAAATATATTCTATAAAAATCGAGGCAATTAAAAAATGTTTTTAAGAACATTTTTTAATTGCCATCATCAGAGGCCATGAAAATTTTTCTTTAAAAATGAAGAACCTTGAACCAATAAATTCAATTAAATTAAATCCGCCTTTGAAATATTCATTACAAAATCATCCCTAAAATTATTCCATAACAAAATTCACGTCAAAGATGATCCTTCTTATACCATACACAGCTATGTTGTCGGGGTATTAAAGCTTTGTGCAGCCCCAAGAGTTTGTAACGCCGCGAAATATCCTAGACCCACCTTTAAGTATACCGATCGTCCTATCTCGACTAGCTGTGTCGATTTAGACAGGTGTGTCCGTCCGTCCGTCTGTCCATTATAATTTGTAAACACGATACAGGTCACAGTTATGGACCAATCTCCACGAAATTTTGCACGTAGGATGGGTTCTGCCCAATGAAGACCCCTATTGTAAAGATCGGTTGATATTTAGGGAATGAAATGGACCAAATACTTAATTTTTGTCGGTTTTTCTGGTCGCTCCAGAGGCCGCAGTTATGGTCCGAACATTATGAAAATTTACACGGAGAGGGGGATCGGGCCAAAGAATAAGCATACCTGTTTTGATAAAGATCGGTCAATATTACAAATTCTGGGGCGTATATACTAGCTCCTGAAGGACATATACCCCAGAAGTTGATAGTATATCCAACAGGAGTTGTTGACCTTCAAATGGATGCCAATTATATGGCTGTATGTACTCTGATGTGGAAGTTATACGTAATTAGGTACAGGTGACTATGTGCATAGTATTACTATTACTCCATTAGAGGACGGAAATGTCGCGTTGATCGCTATGAAATTGTACATGAAGTTCCGATTATGGTAAATGACGATGCCTATAGTTTCCGCTGAAGTTGAGATTTCATTCAGGGGATGCAATGAACCGACAACTTTAATTTTGTCAGATTTTGTAGTCGCTCTAGAGGCAATTATTATATGCACAACATCACATATTTTACAAGGTGAAGGGGATCTGACTAAATACTTAGAGCGGCTGTTTATATGATGATCGGCCAATATTCCACGGGTCAATTCAACCAAAACCTAAAGTGACCAATTTTTTTATTTTATGGCGTAAAAATTGTTTCCAAGGAAAATATGCCAGGGTTATAAAGTGCAGTTGTTGATCTATAATCGGTAAAAAGGGTGCAAATATCACGAAATATTGCCAAGGCTCAGAAAATAGAACCGCAGAATGTTTGCTTTTCGTGGTAGTTGTGTAGGATATCATATGGCCGGCCCCTCTCCGACTATACTGCTCCGCTCACTGGTTTCAAAATATTTTTTTAAACATAAGCCAACTGAAGATCCTTGAAAAAGATCATATATAAAAGGCACCCAGTTATGACCCTTGACAAAATATTATTTTAGCAATTCAGGCCTCTGATCTGTAATGAAATAAATAATTTTTTTAAAGGAAAGCACGACATATTGGTCTAATAAAAAATACAGGATAAAAAAAGGGTCAGTGTTGTTGTCCTTGAAAAAAATTGGTAAAAAAACATTATTTAAAAAAAAGAATGCTCTAATAAACATTTAAAATATTTCTTAAAACATCTGTTATCTCATCTATGTATCGAAAATCGTATCCCCTTAACTTAGACAGTAACCAATACAAGACTCTACAAAAAAAAACCAAATCAGGCATACCGAGATTAATGTGCAGTCACAGATGAAGGTCAACTTCAAGCAAACAAGAAGTTACCTAGATCGATGGATGAACCAATAACAACACAATCAAATTACGTTTGTAAACATAAAACGCGTAATGAAGGGATTTTTTGAAAAATAAATCGCACGCACACATCAATGAAGCAATACACAATTACTGAGAATTATTCTGCTGCTCTGCTCATTACTGTTGGTTAATCTCTC